TCTGTACTTATACCTATAATCGCTTTGCTTTAGCAATTTCTGGGCAGTGCTAAGCTAGAAACTAAAAAACAACAACACAGATGGAGACCAACCAGACAAAGCTCTTCATTGTTTTTCCTTAAATTTTTCAAAACTTAAAACTCTTCGGACCCTTGGCGATTGTTGTGAAAGCGAAAAGGTACCAAAATGGAAAATTCTCAACATTCCATCAAGTTATCCCTAATTAAACTTTATTCCAATTCGTATGCAAGCATTCAGTTTTTCTAGGTTATAATTTTGCATCTCAGTTCGGTACTCGCACATTAAGAAGAAAATCATGGATACCAAGACATGCGACCAATGACGTAAGTGTCAACTGATCGTTTATAAGCAAGATGGCATGCTGAAATTGAGCAAGTTTCCCCACATAAGTTAGAATATTAATTAATGTGAAATTAACTAAACACAGTGCCGTATCGCATATCAAATTTGCTATCTTTTACTTAACTTAGATTCATTATTTATGTATTTTATTGTAATCTTAATATATTTTTATTTTCTGTACCTGGCAACTAGGATACATAACTAGTTTGTTTATATTCTAATTGTGCCATGCCTGTTTTTTTTATACGAAAAAAATAGATAGTAAAAGAATTGAAATCTTTGTTAAAGAATTAATACTTAGCAGGCTTGGCATACTCGAAATAGAATGGAAATAACAGTTCCTAATGTAAACAAATGCCATGTTTCTACAACCAATCAAGATTGAGATACCCATACTCTTCACTGGCATCCTGTTGTGCATTTATTGTTTCTACCACACCAAAGTATTTAAAGAGAAATTTAAAATTACTTTTAAAATCATTCATAAAAGCCTTATAGCAAATATTTTTACATAAATTTGTTATCAATTTATGGAAAAGCTTAAGGGGGTAAGCAGGCTGATAACAAACAATTTAATGTTTCTTTATAATTTAACCATATAACACACATAGCTATATAAAAACGAAACCGCATAGCCATGCAGTTAATTCGTAGAATGGTTATTTAATTAAGAAGTGGTACTTAAGGAAGAGTACTTAATTTTAGTAACCAGAGGAATTTAGAGATTTCTCTTATTTTTTCAATGTTATCTTATAAGCCTTCTTAAAACCTGAAAGCTGGAAACACTATGTATGATTTCAAATAATTTAACTCAAAAATTAAGTGAAAGGGGAAAAAAAACATGTTGACTTCAAACATTCCGATAGGATCCTTCGAAATTTAATCATGAAAAATAAACAAGCTGAAACAATTTAAATGAAAGCTTCTTTTCTACCCATAATTAACCAAGAAGATTATGATGACTACATGAGTAGAAGTAAAAAATTAATTAATCTGCAAAAAAAATAAGCCAACAGTTCAACTTTTGCTAAATGTCATGATGCACTTCAAAAGTAAAAATACCGATATATATAAGAGATTGCAATTGAACTTATCACCCAACACGCAGGAATTGTTGTCCTAAAAAATTGCAAAACAAAATTGAGCTGTTTTGCAATGCAGCTGTAACACACCTGTCACTGAACTATTACATTTCAATTTTATAAAATAAGAGAATTATGATTACCTGTATGATTTAGCAAACGAGTTTGCTAATTGCTCTGTCAACACAGCAAAAGAATATTATAGGACACAACCACTTTAGTACAAAAGATTTAGAGCGGTAGAATATCATAAGCAAATATTAATGTAAACAATATCGGCAAGCGAGCAGAGGAAATTCATTTCCAAAGCCAAAACTTTCTCGATTGACATTGATCTTCTCTAAACAGACAGACGAACGTCGTTCACCTCAAACTGTTTACTTCACTTGAGATCATTTCCTCCATGGAGGGAAATTAGTAAATGCCCCACCCACAGCTCTTACTTTCGTTTAGCAAAACTGGCAACTCAATAATCAAAGCAATCGCGAACTGCTGCACGCCCCGATTCACTCGCTCTTTGAAGGAAAATGGAATGCAGTGACAATGGTTCCTAGGCCCACTCGCACTCGCGCAGCATATGATTGCCAGGAAAATATTTTTCACTAAATTAAATTCTCATTCTCCCTCAACTGCGATCGAAAATTTGTGAACCTAACAGCATTCAGTGAGAGTGGCCAACAAGTGAGACAACTACTTGCGCATACGTGAATCACCCGACGAATCGCATTTGCGGGTAACTCCATTAATGCACAGCAAGAATGTTCCTGAAAGGAACTGTCCAACGCATGTGTGACTCGCATTTAAATGAGATCACACGCAGTTGAAATTCTCCATACTGCTCATAAAATTTCTATGAACTTTTCCCAAAATAAGGCATGTGGTAGCTCAGTGGTTAGTCGTTGTTAATTTACTGTTGTTGTTGTTCATTTACGTCGCACTAGAGCTGCACAAAGGGCTATAGGTGACGGTCTGGGAAACATCCTTGAGGATGATCCGAAGACAAGACATTCAATTCGAATTCATTCGAAGACATCACAATTTTGATCCACTGCAGAGGGGATGGCAGCCCCGATTCGGTGACCCAACGACCTGCACGCGAAGTCGAGCACTTTACGGTAAAATAGTTTAACGAGAACCAATATCGCACACCCTCGGTCCCTACGCAGACTAATCTAAGTGGTCATCCACCCGCACACTGACTGCAGCCAGTGATGCTTGACTTCGGTGATCTGTTGGGAACCGTGTCTTAACGATCAATCCGCTGCTGGACAGCTCAGTGGTTAGAGATCAGGCATGTTCACTGTTATTTTTTAAAGTTCAAGGGAAATTTGTGGAGAGACGTAGTAATTGTAATAATTGTGCGATTGGGGTGAGTCTTGCGGAGACTTGATGATTACAGTCACCATCTGCTCCTCCGATTTAATTTGTAGTAGTGAAGTGTAATTTTAGGTTTACTTCAATGTTTTCATTAATTGATTATTTTATTGCATTGCAGTTTATTCTTTCCAAAGCCCAATTAACTCGATTTTGTTACAATTTGAAACATGGCTTATTCTATGTTAAAATAGTTTTTTTTAGCATTTACGTTAATATAAATCTTTCCTGTGTTTCAGTTACTTTTTGTTAAATTTTATCAATATTGTTCATTTACGTCGCACTAGAGCTGCACAATGGGCTATTGGCGACGGTCTGGGAAACATCCCTGAGGATGATCCGAAGACATGCCATCACAATTTTGATCCTCTGCAGAGGGGATGGCACCCCCGCTTTGGTAGCCCGACGACCTGCACGCGAAGTCGAGCACTTTACGGTAGAACAGTTTAACGAGGACCAATACCGCACACCATCGGTCCCTACGCAGGCTGATCCAAGTGGTCACCCACACGCACACTGACTGCAGCCAGTGATCTGCTGGGAACCGTGTCTTAACGATCAGTCCACTGCGGGACTTATCAATATTGTAACATAGACTTTAAAATAGTCATATATTCGAAAAAATTAACAATACAACTCAACTTAATTCACAGGATTTTATTAAAATGTAATTGAAATATGAAGCAGCAAGCAGAAACCCTAAAAACAAAATGAATGTTTCAATTAAAAAAAAAATTATAGTTTATTAGAAATTTATGAGAGTTTGGGGAGGAAAAAGTCATTACAATTTATTTGCAAGTTTTTTAATATATTTTGTTAAGATGGTATTTGTTTTCTTCCTTTCTTTTTGTTGCTACATATAAATCCTTTTTTAATATTTTTTTATCATGTTTAAATTTTTAACCATGTTACTATTATTTCCTTTTTAAATTGTTTAGCTTTAAAAATCAAAATACATTATCATAAAAATTATAGTTGCTTACGTCAATTTATATAAATAGTTTTGTTAAAATAAAAGCAAATCGTTAAATTCAGGAACAACAAATACGCATTAGTAATATAAATATATATATAATTTACAAATATACACTTATGGTGCTGCAGTGAATGAGTATATATTTAGTTTCCTAAATTTTCTCAAAAATAGTTTTGTCAAGTATAAATAATTCAAAAAAAAAAAAAAAACTTAAAAAGAATAAGTGAAATTATCTTTGAAATCGAAGACCAAGTTTTAGGTTCAAAGTCCTCCCCAAGGCCAAAATTTAAAAAGATAAATGTGTCGCTTTAAAGCCATATTGAACGCTTTGAGCTTGAAAGTAATTAGGAAAAATAATATTAAAACTATTATAAAGTAGTAATTAATAAAAAGATTAAGAGAAACTTGTATACCTTTGTTTTAAAATTACTCAAATTTTAAATAACTTAGTTGAACAGCTGAAAACATAACAATTCCAAATTATGACTTATTATTATAACAACCTTCTCATAACTCTTTAGATATATTTTTAGAAACTATTCAACACCTTTTCTTTTGAACAATGAGTTTTCAGTCGTATCTTAAATATCTTGTCGCTATGGCACAGTTATTAAAAGGCACTGGACTGCATTGTGAACAACTGAGGTTTAATCCTCAGTGGTAGCTTGAAGCTTATCCAGCTTCAGATCAAAATGTATCAGCTTGTCTAGGAAGTGAAGCGGTTTGTGCCCAATGATGACCACACTGTAACCTTTATCTCTCCCTTCATCACAACGGGTTGCTGCAGGAATACTTCTATACAAAATAAATGTATATCACAATTGAATTTGTACCTTGCATTTTATCTAGCACCATGTCTTGTGGTTAATTGACTTAGAAATAACCCTTGAAACAATCACACTATTTGCCTTAGCAATGTGAAATGTTGTTTTATCAGGTGCTGTCATTTTTTAACACTTTCTACTTAATGCATGTTACTGTTAGTAACCGAAATTGATGGTTGTAGATTTTTGCTGGTGAATGTCAACAATCAATAAAAATATATATATATATATATATATATATACTTATTGCAAAACAAAATATGGTGACATCAATTAAAGATTAAATTATTCATTTCATTAATGTTCCAGTCAAAACAAAAAAATTTTTTTAAAAAGAGAAAGATAATAAGGGTAGAAAAGCATTTAATAAAATTGAAAGCATTCAATGTAAAATGGTTTATTAATTTACAAAACAATAAATAAAATTATCAGTATTTTATAAATAATCTCAAATACAAAATATCTAAGATGATATGATTTCAGTTAAGCCATATTTCTGCAATATATTGATGGTATTTTCATGAGAGCTAAAATAAAGAAACATAAAAAAATTAATAAAGTTGGATTAAAATATGTTTAAAATTCAAATTCAACACAAACAATAAAAGGAACTTGTTTAACTCTTTGCTTCCCGGGGTCTAAATTTCACTACCTCCCTTAGATTGCCGAAACACCCAAGAATTTGTTTGATAACTTCCCTATCCTCTTTCTCTGCAAGCTATGATAGTTAACTCACCTTAACAATACCAAGTGCTAAGAAGTTGAAACTGGAGACTTTTCAAGGACCAAAAAGTATTGAAAAAAATATTTGCTTTCCGGTTTCTTTAATTTTGACCCTTTTTGTAAAGAAATAAGTAAAACTAAAATCAATACTTATTAAAAATACACACCTTCTCAAAAATTTTTTTAAGCAGGTTTGTTTAACAGAAAAAGTTTTTTTTTTAAATCTAGAGACTATTTTTTTACGAATCATAATTAGATAATCCTAATTAATACAGGCTAAAATTTTTAATTTTCTACTTAAATTGTTTTAAGAATATATTTAAAAATATTAAGTAACATTTGCACTCAATCTTCCTAACTGAGAAGCTCAAGATTAAAAAGTATTATTTTTAATAAGTAAATAGAGAAAAATATATTCGTCACATGACATCTATACTATCGTTATATATTTTTTTAAAAATACAAAAGAAAATTTTACACATATATTAATGAGAATATTAACTATTAAATAATTAATGTTAAGCTGAATATTTTGATGATTGAAAATGTTGACATTAATAGCATTTTATCTAAACTCAAAAGTAAAATTAATGATTTTAAAACATATTTTAAAAATTAATGGTTTTAAAATATCAACTAGATGATTATCATACAGCAATAATTATTAAAATATAGGAGTACAGGTTGCATGCATATAGTTGAGAAATACTTGTCAAAAATTGATAATTTTTTATTTTAAGGGATATTTCATTAATTGAGGCCTCTTATTAATTAACAGTCCAATAACATTTTCTCCATATACAAGTCAAGTAATTTGTTTGGAATGTGTCGGATGATCTTTAGGATATTCTTTAGAATAGCATATTATATTGATTAACAAAATTCAAAATTAATAAATAAAATTGAGAATAATTTAGAATTTTAAAGATGAAGATATATTTATGCTGAAACTTCCAAGAAATCGAAACAAACAATCCATATACAAATAGAAATCTACATATACATAAAAGCTTTTTCTTTTCGAAATGAAACAAGATTTTAATTTGAATATCATAGCAAGTGACAGTGAGTCGTAAAGAAAAAAAATCCTTTCATCAGATATGAATAATTTTTTCCTTCCTCCTTTAAATAAATAATAAATTGTGACGGTATGGATTCTATTTCGTTACGGACTCTAAAATCCTTATTATGTGCCACCTGGAGAAATTCTAAACTTAATACTGATTGTATTAAGTGATTTTTCTATTTCATTCTTTTTTCTCAAACATTTTTAAAAACATTTAACAGTACCTTAATACTTTTGTAATAAAATAGATTATTTTCTCTGATAACTAATATGGCTTGCTTTATTAATCACGGAAAAAACACTAGCAGGAAAAAGTCAGAAAATTGAACCTCAATTAGTTATCATATAAATTTAATGCCTGCTTCCATTCGTGCAGTTGGACCTGAATTTAATTAAATTAATTAAATTATAGTTATTAATAATTAGTTGAAGCAAATTATATATTTTTAAAAATTAATTCATTATATAGTTTAATTTGAAGTTTTAAAGCTATTTATATAATTGAAATTTTTAATTCAATTATACAATAAATAGTAGTATTGTTATAAATAATGTATCAATAAACAATAATCTCTCAATAATAATTATAATCAATTGAATAATAGTAAATAAATTATAAACATTTGAAAATTATTTTAAAATATATTTCGGGTATAAACCTTAAAATTCTCTTTATTTTTTCTATTTTAAAATCATATAACTTAACAGTTTTATCCATTAACATTATTTTAAATCACACACTTAATTTACTACATTTCAATGATATCAAATTATTTTTTTTTAAGGAAATTAAAATCATAGAATAAAAGTGTACATCGTTAGTGATCGATTTTTTAACTTCATAAAACAATATGGAAAGTTTAAATTAATTTCAGGACATTGAAACTTTATTTTTTATAACTTAAATATGTTTTCAGAATGATTTTTTTTATTAATGACGAAAAAAAAATTAGATCCTTGTGCAGTTAATTAATTTAAGGAATTTTATTTTTTTCAAAAATATTTTTAAGCAAATAGTAGTTTGTAAACATCAAAACTGGTTTTAGGTTAGAGCAAAAATTTCGCAATTATACTAAAGGCTTGATTGTGCGTACATTCTTCAGTTATAAGCAATAACCAACTGCTTAAATTATACTTTACAAAATATTGCAAATTAAACTGGATACATTGTCGTGGAAAATTAAACAAAAATAAAATCTTTTAGAATCATTCTTATCACTAATTACAAGAATAAATAAGGTCATTTTTTTCGAAATGGGAACACTTAAAAAAACAGATCAATGCAACTAAAATGTTTTTTGGTGAACAAATGTTTAGTTCAATAATTAGTTGCAAACGAAATAGCAAATCTGCAAACTAAATGTTTACAATGTCAAATATGTAAACTTATATAACAATACTTGCTAATAAAAATCGTAATGTTCAGTATTATCGTCGCAATGAAATAAAAATGACAAAAAAAAATCTCTTTCAATGTTAAAACCACTTGTATAAAAACACTTGTTCACCCACTGTTTTATTTTAAGTTTTTTCCGTAATTTTTATATTTATAGAAAAAAAATTTATTTCCTAAAAACAAATCAATAAAATATTATTAGGTGTCTCATATTAGCTACATACACTGACTCACTTAAATCCTAGACTATCTCTTATATTAGATGCTCGATTTTAATTGTTTTAAATTTAAGCTAAACTAAACATATATAGAAGTTTATTTACTCGTTAATTGCAGCACTACTTTTTTAAAAACTGATAATATAAATGTATACATAATATATACATTTGTTTATGTTTTTAATTTAATTTTATACACTTATATGGGCTTGTGTGCTCAATACTATGTAACAGCTTATAAATATAAGGACATAAAGGCACAAATTAGCGATGGAAAGCACAAGCTAGAAATATAATGGGATTTAAACCAACTACTTCCAAATAAATTTGCACTTTCGGACTAAAAATTATCTTACAAAAAATTTTATAACATGCTAATAATTAGAAAAATCTTAACAATATAAATGTTTAAACTTATATTTGGCAACACTTAATTTCTCTCTTTTTCCGACAATCATGGCAAAAATTTATACAATGAGAAATTTTAAAATAAAAGAGAATATTTTAATGTTTTGAATGCTAAATGTGTACGCAATGATTCTATATTTTAAGTATAAAAAAAGCACAACTCCATTTTATTATCATATAAAATAACAACATATCTAAATTAGCCTCATCATTTTGAGTGTTTCATTTTAGCTTTGGAGAACCATATAAATTTTACGTTAAATAAATTCTACTTGCAATGAGAAAGTACGCAGATACTTTCAGAAGTTAAAAGTTCGTAAAAAATAAATAAATACTTCTATGATAAACTCAAGTATTGTTGTATTTGTATGCTTCCCTCTTTCAAAATTTTGTTACGAAAAGTTCCCAGAATTTCCCTTTTTAGTCATCTAAACATTTAATAATTTGTCTCGCAATTATTTTCTATACTGCTTACATGCTATTATGGCAAAGACTATTTGTCATAAAAAATCTTTAATTTCAACACAAAATATTCAAATGCAACAAAAAAATATTTTTATTTTAAAAGATCTTTGAAGAAATAATCATTTTTGATTTTTTTTTTAGAAATAGAAAATATATTTTATAATAGAATATCCATTTTTTTGTAATTAAAATCAGAGTTACTCAGAATAATACTATCCAGTCCTACAACAAAACTTAATTTTATTGATAATCCCCAATATCAAAGAGGGTTCTTCAGAAGCCATCCTGCTTTTATGACTCTATGGTTTCTTCTACCTGCGCATCTAGGGGGGAAAAGCTTGCCAAAACTCAGGCGCTGCCTCGGAAATCTAGATGGTCAGGCATTTGAGGTGCATTGGGATAGAAAAAGTTAAAGAACAGTTAAAGCATATGTTTTCTTGTATTATAAACTTGCTAAGTAGTATACTTAAGCTTTTAATACTCATTCACTCATTCAGAAAAATTCTAATGCTTAATACTATAATCAGAGTTCTCCTTAGGAATGAAAAAGGGCAGGGTGAAAAGACACTCACCTAATAATGCAAGAATTCATCAAAATGTGTAAATTTATGTAATAACTGAATTTGATCCTCAACAATTTCTAAATTACCCTCATAATATTTTATGTATATATTTCAAAAAGTAAGTCTCAGACAATATCAAAACATCAGAAAAATTCTCGTTTATAAAAAATTAAAGGCATGCTATAAAACAATCTCTAAACACAATTTTTTTCAAAAATAAGTAAACTAATAAAAAATGATTAATTGATAAACAACTTTTTTCTATAATTGAAATTGAAAACTTTGAAAAAATGATCATTAAAAGGAGCCCCCCCCCCTTTTTTTTAGAAAAAAAAGAAGGTACATATTTAAAATTACTTAAATTCATTAATATACCTGAAATACCCTGATATATATATAATATACCCTGAAAAAAGAGAAACTTAATAATTTAATCATTTGAGAATGAACCTAACAAAGTAAATGTTTGTAATTAAAATCAGAATTAAACATATAAACACAGATAATTTTACCAGTGTGTAATTATCATTTAAACAGTGACAGACATATATATATGTGGCAGCTTATTTTTACAAAAAGGGCAAAGAGGGAGTATTTATAGGGATCAAAGGGCAGATAGGACGAACTGCCCTTTTAAAAACGTTTAGGGAGAACACTGCTATAGTCAAGATTTATTTTTAAACTTGAAAAATGTTTTAAAACAATCTTGAAAAATGTTTTAAAACACGAAAAGTCTGAAGCGTTAATATTTCTTCTTAAGGTTTTATTGTGAAACTGAAATATTGTGAGAAGAACATTTAAGCGTTTAAAATTTAAATGCCAATAACCTAATGATTAATTATTGATCTAATTATTACACTTAATACAAATAAGCATTAATTTTAATTAAATAATTTGCTGTTTCTTTTAAAATTATATCAAACTAAAAATTAATAGAACCATGCAATTCAAGAACCCATACAAAGATTAATTTATAGTCTTAAAAGTTTACAGTTTGAAATTTTTTTTCTTCAGATTTTTCAAAAATTGAAGAATAGTTTTTCTCATATTTTTAGACCACTAACAAATATAATAACAAGGGACACTAAGAGAAAAATCATGCAGATACAAATTTCTTGGATATCTTAAGATAAAACTTACCATCCACTTCGCCAAACTTTAAAATGACCTTTAACAGAAAGATCTATAATAGTTGATCCAAGTCTTTTAGGGTCTACTTGTCCAAGAATGCCACCATCAACTATCAAATCAAGTGATGGCCACAGCTCCTTAAATTCCTATTAAATTCATTCATATAACTAAATTTAGTTTTTAAAAAAATTACAGTTTAAATGAATCTGAATATAAAATGACAGTAACACTGAAGCCACGCTTTTATAATTTTATATTTTTTAACAATATAAAATTTAACAGTTTAAAAAAATTTTTTTTAACAGTTTTCGTAAACTGTATAAGACTTTGTTTTATGTTATACATAATATAGCTAATATATATTCAACTTCAATATTAAAAATTAAGAAAACTTAATAGCATAGTTTCTAAAGCTTTTTGGATAACCACCCACTTTGCAAATCTGATATTTTTAACACTGTACTCTTAAGTGCTTATTTTTAATATAAATAATGTTAATATTTATGATTCGATAGATGTTCGTCAATTTTACTATGTTATTAAAAATCATTAAATTATTTTTATACTGATTTCAATAAAAAGAAGCTCATTTGCAAAAACATTTACAAGTTTGCTTTAATTTAAACTTCCACAATTATATGTCACATTAACTTTTATATTCTAAATTGCAAAGAATTAAACATACTAAATTTGCAAAGAATTAAATATACTTCAAATTCAAAAATAATTAAATATACTTAAATCTCTTGAGTTAAATTATTTATTTATTGACAAATAAACAAAAAGACATTTGTTCAACATATTGTGCTATATTTCAAATAGTTATCAAGTGTTAGTCATAATCAACAAATTATTTATAATTAAGATAAAATTCTTGATCAAAGACTTGACTGAAGAATGAATTGAGTTTTATTTTTTCATATGTTATAAGTCTAGTATATTTTAACATATAAAAGGGAAATATTGACAATTAAGATTTCAATTATGGTGTGCATTACTTTTTTCCATAACTAAGTTTACTGTCTGGTAACTATTAATATGTTAGACAGCTTTGATGAATGTACAAGTATGATGTTTAAACAAGATTACTAGACTACAACATCTTAGTTTTTGGAGAATGAGTTATGCAAGGAGTCAGTAAACCCCTAAAAAAATAATCCTTTTTCTTGTTTCAATCAAAATAAAGTAAACTTAAATTGCAAAACAACACACATTCTACAATATGCAGTTTGTATTAAAAATCAGAATAGAATAAGATTAGAATAGAAATAAACCTTGATTGATAAAGAGCTAGAAGATGAACTGATGTTAGCACTAGTAAGAGCTAGAGGTTCAATGCATGATGATGCTAAATCTTGAATGAATTTACACTTAGGAATCCTGATTCCTATAGTAGGCCAATCAGGATTTAAATTTGGATTTAAGTTGGGCGTTCTTTCCATAACTATAGTAACAGGCCCAGGCAACAAATCATGAAGTAAACCTTCGGGGAATGTAATTTTCCCCCACCTGTCATGAGAAAACTATTATTAGATATTAAGAACGGAAATGTGTGGTTTGATTAAAGATATTTGTATAGAAAAGTCAGAATAAATGTATTTGTGCAGAAAATACAGCTTGCTAGTTAAATTTCCTAGATTTCAAAACTTTATATCTAGGAATCAGTACTTTTTAGAGAAATCTTTAAACTGAATTAAGCGAGATAACTAAATTAAATAAATCTGTGAAACACTAATTTTTTATACAGTCAAACCACTAATTTCCACACATTTTTTTTTAAAACACAAAAAATTCTGAAGTGCTTATGCAATCGCTATGAGGATAACAGGAAAAATCCTCTTTTAACCTAAAACATTTCTAGGTGGTACTTAAATTCACAGAATATTTTGGGTTACCCATAAAGCTCCCCCCCCCTGAATTTCTGAATAATTTAGAATGCTTTCACTAACTTCAAGCCTTAAAGATTTTTCTTGAAGCCCTAATAAGAAAGAGACTTTCTATCAGACTGAAAATAAGTTACCTGAATCATTCATTCATAAAGAAGTAGATTTGTGAAATATCTGTGCACATATAAGTATAACCCACCCATAATATTTGAAAGAACTTTGACGGTGAGCATTTCATTCTGAGTACAGCTCTTGAAGTGCATGCTTGAAAGAATGGTTGGAATTATGAGTGTAAGAAAATGGACATAGCTAAAAATGTGAGTTTAAAAAATGGACATAGTTCAAGATATATGTTCAAGAAAAAACAGCTCTAATTGTGTGTTTAAGAAAATGGACACAGCACAAAATGCACCACAATGCACAAGTGTTTAATCCTCCAGATTAAAAACTAAATGAAGAAATGCATACTTATTTTCTCTTGCTTTTTTAAACACTAGGCACACTTATTAAGGGGCATGCATCTGAACTTCAGGGCTGTGATGGCTGGGCTTACTACATATATGACACATCAAGCATCTCTTTTTGTATTCAGAATAATCAACCATAAAGTGGTTTAAAAAAATCTATATATTTTTACAACATCAATTTAATACCACTATTATAAATTTTTAGAATCTGTGATAATATCATAAAATAAAATATTGACACCAGAATAATGAATTTATTTGAAATCATTAGTTTATTTTTTAAAAAATGAACAATTTTCACAAGAAAAGTTTGAAAAACAGAATCAAGTGTTAATTTTCTTTTTTAATAGTTTTGTCCATTTTCTTAAAAAAGCATTTTTAGCTGTGACCATTTTTTTAAAAATGCATTCTAAGCTATGCTTATTTTTTTTAAACAAGTATTTTTAGCTGTGTCCATCTTCTACACATCTCGATGTGTGTTTATTTTATTAAACACGCATTTGAAGCTGTGTCTAGAATAAAAAAGTTCTCCAACAACTCGATAATTTAATTAATCGAGAAGAAAATTCCATTTATTAGGGGTTGCTGAAAGGTTTATTTTTAGGCCCCCCTTTTTTGGAAAAAAAAAAAAACTTTTTCAAAAAATGGAAATTATTTTAGGAAAATTTTTGAATTTAAAAAATTCAGTTTTAGCAATCACTATATTTTATGTTTAATATCAAAAATATTTAAAAATAAGTAGATGCAGTAATTTGATACAATACTAAAAAAAGCTTTTACACATTTTTTTTTTTACAATGTCTTGTTAAAAAATGGTACTAACATTTTATTCTTAGCTTGATTCTAGTGTCAAATAAAGAGTTGGAGATAACTAGATGCTCCCAGTATAACACATATGCTCCTCAAAATTTTTTTAAATTAAAGTGAACAGCATAAGAAAAACTTTTATTTGTTCTCCACTTCTAAGTTTTCTATAATTGTACTTAATGAACTTTTCAATGATTGAATAGTGACCAAAAACTATGAAAAACTTTTAAGATTTCTAAGTGTTGAAGCTTAATTATTCACAAAATTTTTATAGATTTTTTTTCAATCAAATATCAACTGATCCACGAATCAAAAATTAACTTTCATGATGCTTAGTAATACAATTTTATTTTTTTAAAAACAAAATCTCCATTCAAATTTACTTGTTTAAATTTTTACTCTTTTTTCCTTTTCCATTAACATTTTATATTTATTAGTATGCAGTATGTAAATGTGTCTCTTTGAGTGGAAACTTCCCATAAATAGTTTCCTATTTAAAGTAAAATTTAATGAAAAACTTATGGAAAGTATTTTAAATTTTAGTTTCACAGATCACTAATAGTTTAAGAATTTAATTTTGGGTCTAATTTGGAATCTAATTTAGTTAACAAAAATGATTTGATATACTAAAACTAAATTAAAGAGAAGACTTAACCTTTTAATTTTAAATTAAAATTACTCAAGACAAATTAAATAAAATTGAAAGTAAACCATAAGTTAGGAATTGGATAGCAGAGCTGAATGTATTTAAAATATTTCTAATTTAAGTAACTAATCAGCATCAAAATATAATTTATTTCTTATTTCAAATTTACATTTAATTTTTGCAAAGAAGAAAAAACTAGTCATATCCTTAAAGTCACATTTACTTTTGGTGGAAAATAATGCAAAAGCAAATGTGTAATTTAAAAAAATAATGATAGATATACACCAGAAAATGTAAAAAACAAATACATCATCAACAGGACTAAAAACTCTAAAATATTATTTTCGACAATTTTAAAAAAAATTAATATTTAAATGAATAATTAATGCCAAATAAAACACACTTTAAAGCTAAAAGCTCAAAATAAAGTTTACTTAGGAATGTCTTCTATAGATCCAACACATATGGATACAGGTTTTTCACAATGCCTTCCTTTGATATCATACATAGAAGAGACTGCAGAATCATTTTGAGATAAAACAGCAATTCCATAAATAGTGTCAGTTGGAACAGCAATAATTTTTCCTTCTTTAAGTGCAACAGCTGCAGTCTTCACTAAAATAAAAAATACTTTTTAGTTCGCACATAAAAAAAAATACGAGGATTAAAAAAATATAAAAGGGAGAAAAACAGCATAAGAAGTAGAAATTAATTAATTCATAAATTCATTCAGTACTAATACATTGTTTTACAACCAGAACAAAGGTTACTCTACTTACTTGGATAAATCCAGAAATACCTACCATGCAGTATAATAGTAATGTCTCAAATTGAAAAGAATTATGTAAAGTAAGACTACAGATTATTTTTAACTTCAGATCTCGTTAAAATGAAATCAAACTGATTTTTAGCTATTACAGTGATTTTATATCGTGAACTCCTTGTGTAGAACTTCAAATTGAATTTCAGTCAGATCATTTTCACTTAATTTTTCTACCTTTTGACAGTAAATAAGCATAAGCATACTATTTAATCTTCTGAAGAGAAGATTTCTGTATGACATCATAGCAAAATAACTGCAAAGTTTTGTCAAATTAAGGGCAGTGATACAGTAGAAATTTAAAAAATAAATAAATAAACCACAGAATGTGACAAGGTAAAAAAGTTGAGCCTGTACAAATACCGAGCAAGTCACTAAATATTCACCTTCAATTTCAATTGAATAAATAACAATGCCAATTTCATTCTGTGCAAATAGATACAAATATAGAAATATCTCAATTTTAAACATGAATAATAGTGGCATAAAAAACACCCCTCTACTGCTGCGGGAGGTGGCGAGGTTTGAGGGCATGTGTTACAGAAAAAATAACACCATATGAATTACAAGAAAATATTTGTTTCAATTATTAGATAATTTTCTCAATCCACTTTCCAAGAGCCGCAATGGCTCAGGAAATAGAGTGTTCTCCTTCCAATGAGGTGAACCGGGTACAAATGAATTCCGCATCTAGCTTGTAACAACCACATTACTTACACGAAATATGCTTAGTGGTAGCCAGATCACTAGTTTGAGTCTCCTTGCCATCAGGTTAACCGTGGGAGGTTCTCTTGGTCTTCTCCATGTAACGCAAACGCGGGTTAGTTCCAAGAAAAAGTTCGCCACAAAGGCAAATTTCTCCTAATACTTGATCCAGGAGTTCCCTTGTCTTCTGGATTGGGTTCAAAATTACAAGGCTACAGAGTCGTAAGCCCGAAAATTGGGTGGGCCGTTCAACGACGGTTATAAAATGTAAAATAAAAATTCACTTTCCAAATAATAATTACCCTGACTTAAGCTTTGGATAATATTATTGTGAGATTGTGAGTTATTTTCTAGTATTAATAAGATAAATTCCTTTAAATGTGATAAGTCAGTAATTGCGTTAAAAGAGACATTAATATTTATTGCGTTAAAAAAGATATTAAAATAGTTTGCATTTATATAATTATTAGGAAAATAAATTTTTTTTAAAAAACTATTCGTGTTCTCTTATACTGTTTAGAAATCTCACTCAGTTTTTGGGAAAGGGTGAGATTTTTTTAATTTTATCTGAGATGAAAACCTTGCTAATGCAATAATAAAAAAGTAATAACTGCCAAAATTTTAGTTCATCATTTGGAGCAATATTTATTTAAACAAAAAAGTGAAAAATGTTCTTAGGTTGATAGACCTTTAGGTAGATATTAATAACCATTTGCATTTTTTAAAAAAGATTTCAAATGCTTTGCAATATTTTATTAATTGTGATAAATATAACTAAAACATATGGTTAAGAATAAATAATATGATGTAAACTTTTGAATGAATACTATTGCATTAAATTATAGAAATAACGGATATAAAAGAATTTCATATTTTGTGCTACACTTACTGAGCTCTAGGCATTTTAATGAATAGATATAGTAAAAACTTAATTAAAACCACGTATACTGAATTATTGATTCTAAAATGAAAGTGTATATCAACGCAAAATAGTATTATTCAGCTTATTTTTAAAGGGGAAGGAAACGGAAAGATTCCCAAATTAAGAAGCATGGCAAGTAAACTAATAAGACATAAAATGCATTGGATATATGAAAATATGCATTTTTTAAATAAAATTATTCACCTATTTCATTCATTGAACAACCATTTGACATTAATTTTACAATTTGTGTCATCTTGTTTTTTATAGCAAACATCGTGGAAACAAATAAGCTAAGAACATTATAAGAGCAGTAAAAACAAAGCGTCAATATTCATTTAAATTTAATTAATATATTTTTCTAAACTCGGCCAAAGATAAAATAAACTGGCACATTGATACATTTCGTTTATTAAACTGGTCTGTCCTTTCTCTACGGTTTAATAACCTATTAAATTTTATATGTTATGTTCAAAATTTCACGATACCATGATGCAATGTTTACATGCCGAAAAGAAGTTAAAGTTACAGTTATTTAAGAAATTTTTAAGTTTCTAAACTGTTGTAAATCATTGTGATTGCGTTAAGGACTACTCCCACTAATATGACTTAAATTACCCTATCAATGCATGTGACCCTATCGCTGAGGAGAGTACACGGTAATGCAACACTCACATATGCGAGCAGTTCTTCTTACACGTACTTTCTAAATATTCGCATGAGATTGCATGTGATCGCGCTTAAATGTTATTCATGCATGAGCAAGCAGTTTCTCTTATCTTAAGAGTTGTTTAAATTGTATGTGAAAAAAATCGCGTGGGACTACGGAGATGCAAGTGAGAACCCGATTGACCCCAATCAAGATTTATACCATAGAGCCTTCCCAAATTAATCGCATACAGTGGGAACGATACCGTAATAGGCATTCTGAAGTTCTCGCTCGCAAGCGATAAAATCGCATCTAGTGAGCCTTGTTTTTCATGTAGTTTTTGAATACGTATTGCGTAGTTTTGAGTTTTTACACCCGTGTGTTTGATGTGTCTAGTCCACTCGCATGCAAAAAATAGCGTTCTGCGTCAATTCGTTGAGCATAATTTAACGTGAGGCAATCCGTCATGAGCACAATACGTCGAAGCGACAATTCTTCGTGAGCATAACTCCTCACAAAGACATTTCGTTGTGAGCACAGTTAGTCACAGAAGCAAGTCATCATGGATCCAACTCGTAGTAACGATAGAGCTTTGTGGGCACAATTGGGTATAATATAAAAAAAACACAACTACTTCCACTTAGTAGGAATAACATTTTCATGACGCAATGCTAAATTCTATGCCACTATTCGCGATCGCAACACTCGAATACGCCATCTGGGGAGAGATCGGTTTCATGCCTTTAGCCCTTCTCCCTTCCCTCTCCTCCTCTTTTCAGTTGTATAGGAATGTACTACAGTATTTTTCCTTTTCTTAATATTTTTCCTTTTTATTTAATAAGAATATTTTTTAAAATAATACTTTTCTTTAGAACTATGTTTAATGTAGTTTTCAGTTCCATATAGTTTTTGAAGTTAAAAGATTTCAATCTATATGAAAATCAAGAGAGAAACTAACGTACTTCCTTCCTCTGTGACTTTCCACACGCTAATGGGGAAAGCATGTGAAATGTTGCCATAGGAAAAGAGTTCTGCTCTACGCCATCTGCAGCCCATTTCGATCGCCAATCCACTTAAATGCCACTATCCACATAAATCAATTATTAATCAAAAATCGAATATCAATTACTTTTCTTTATAATGCAATAAAATCTGGCGAGCAGCTATTTAAACGATCAAACACTTCGTTTGTTTATTTGTGGCTTGAAGTTAGGCTCGCAGAAAATGCCGTTCATGGGTTAAATTTAGTAGGAATAACACAACCTGTGACGTAGGCCAGTGTTTCCCAAACTTATGACTTTTGTGTACCCTTTGCAAATTTTTCGTTACGCTGTGTACCACTAATAAAAAAATTAATGTATTTTTTACTATTAAAAAATTGCATAAAAAATAAAAATCACAACTGGCTGTTAACAGCACTAATTATTAACTGTTGACTCTGCAAAAAATAGCCAATAGAAATATATGTAATAGTAAATTTTCATGGCTAGCTTTGTTTCTAAATAAATTTTTTTTGTAATTTTAGTTTGTTACAAGATAATTCGCATGAGAACGCGTACCCCAACTAAACTGTTCCCGTACCCCTGGGGGTACGCGTACCACACTTTGGGAAACACTGACGTAGGCTATAGTATACCCAATTAGGGATGTTTCTTCAGAAAAATTGACACTTAAGATATTTTTTGGCAGAAAGCTTCGTTATGTTATGTCATCATAAATGATACCTGAAAACTCCCCAATTCTCTAATATAGGCTTTTTCTTTTTTTAATGGAAACGAAGATGATTTGAGGAGAGAACTGAATTTCTTCCAAGCAAGCAAGTGAGGGGCCGAAGAAAACCCATTACCGAAATATCTATCATAAAAATGTACAGCAGTTGTTATGGGTACTAAATTTAGTCATAACATAACACACTTTGCACCTATATGAGAATATATATGGTACACATTAAAACTGCACCAGTCATTATGCCAGAGGAGCCCATAACCAAAATTAAATAGTTTAATATATCATAGGTGTAAAAAATTGCATGGCGTCTTTTTACTGGTCACTTTAACAAATAAGTGCATTGTCATCATTAATTTCGCTTTTTAGTATATAGCTAATTTTTTTTTTAATTTCAATTTGTACTTAGCACTAAAATTAATTAAGTATCCATGACGTCAATAATAGTGGCACAATTGTTTTGCTCTCACTTAAACAAATTAGTACTATCGTTTCTCCAGCAATTTTGCTTTTTAGTTCATAACTTATTTGGTTTAATTTAATGCATAACTATCACCAAAATTAATTATCATTGGCGTTATTAATTATTATTTTTTTATTTATTAATTATTAAAATTAATTATTGTTTTACGTTTCTCCTCAACGAATTACTACTATATTTATTTATTAATTTTGCTTTTCAGTTCAAAACTTTTTATTTTTATTTCAATGGGATAACTTCATGGGACGTGGTGTGGGTATCTCGATCCTGATTGGATGTTGAAACGTGGCATTTGTTTGCATTAGCAACTATTCTTTTCATTCTATTTCGAGTAGGCTAAGCCAATCATTTCTCTTAAGTGGCACATTTTATATTCTGACACAAAGATTCTGTCTCAAAGGTTTCAATTCCTTCACTATATATTTCTTACTTACTAACTCAAAGAGACACAAGAAGCCATGTAGAACATAACGCAACTAATTATGCATCGAAGTTGCCAGGTACGCAAAACAAATATACATCACAGTTATAATAAAATGCATAAACAAATATTAAACCTAAGTTAATGACGTAGAATAATTATATTTTAATAAATTCGATGAGAAATAATTATATTTTAATAAATTCGATGTGTGATACGGGGCTTTATTTATTTAACTTTACGTTAATTAACATTCTAACTTATGTGAAGAAACTTAGTACAACTTTAACTCGCCAATTTACTTATAAGAGATCAGCTGAACTGCCACCGACCATAGGTTACATGTGCAGGTATCCCTGCTCATTTTCTTCTTGAACTGCAAGCACCCAATTACCGTTGATTTTAAATTATTTAGTTTTATAGCAGCACGTTTTAAAAGCATATGTGGAAAAACATAAAAGAAAGCAATCTCATAAAATAAATACGTAGTTTCAGACAAATTTAGAAAAATTAATTTGGTGGCGTAATCCACCTATGCTACCACTATCACGTTGAGCATTCAGATAATTTAGCATAGAGTTCTGTTAGAAGGAAGTAACCCTAATCTAGCATAACGAATAAAAAAAAATTATNAACTTAGTACAACTTTAATTCGCCAATTTGCTTATAAGAGATCAGCTGCCACCTACCATAGGTTACATGTGTAGGTATCCCTGCTCATTTTCTTCTTGAACTGCAAGTACCCAACTACCGTTGATTTTAAATTATTTAGTTTTATAGCAGCACGTTTTAAAAGCATATGTGGAAAAACATAAAAGAAAGCAATCTCATAAAATAAATACGTAGTTGCAGACAAATTTAGAAAAATTAATTTGGTGGCGTAACCCACCTATGCTACCACTATCACGTCGAGCATTCAGATAATTTAGCATAGAGTTCCGTTAGAAGGAAGTAACTCTAATCTAGCATAACGAATAAAAAAAATTATTACCAAGGCTGAACTTTACCTTTCAACAGTTAAGTTGCGAATCTAGTTCAGCCTTGGTATTACAGAACACCGCAGTAAATAACTTTTCAACAGATCACCGAAGTCAAGCATCACTGGCTGCGGTCAGTGTGCGGGTGGGTGACCACTTGGATCAGTCTGCGTAGGGACCTAGGGTGTGCGGTATGGGTCCTCGTTAAACTGTTCTACCATAAAGTGCTCGACTTCGCGTGCAGGTCGTCGGGCTACCGAAGCGGGGGTGGCATCCCCTCTGTAGAGGATCAAAATTGTGATGGCATGTTTTCAGATCATCCTCAGGGATGCTTCCCAGACCATCGCCAATAGCCCATTGTGTAGATCTAGTACGACGTAAATGAATTACAGCAACAACAACAAATAACCTTTATGATCAGAGCTATAAGTAAGCAAACATCACTGATGTTATCTTTAAAATATTTGACAAAACTGAATGTCTAAAGCTTAATGTAAAATAATGGCTTCCGTTAAATTAATGAGAAAATTCCGTTTTTTGAATAACTCTGAATCAAAATTATTATTAAAAAATCGGAAATTCGCTGCGTAATTTGTTTAGAATTGTACTTTTTCAACTTCTTATTAGGGAAATGTTCTATCCGCTTTTTGAGTAAAAAATAACATAAGTTGAGAACATGTGTTTTGAAGAAATAGAAGCTTTTTGACTTAAAACTTGACGATAGGGTGGCAATTTACAAACAAATTTTAAATCGCCATTTCTTAAATTATATTTAGTTGCCCTGTGGCTGGTGGCAACCTAGCCCAGCCCTTATGGCCATTTTGTCCTATACTACCAAGGCAAAGAATTTCATCTTTGTGTTCAACAATAAAAACTTTACAATTGCGTTTTCATGACTTAAATTTTTTAATTTGATTAAATTTTGTCACCAAAAAAAAATTCTTTTTTCTTAAAAAAGTAATTTGGTTTAATTTTGACTAAGAGGTCAAAATAAAAACTGTGGTGTTCTAAATTATTCCATGCTAATTATGCTATTGTCTCTGTGATTTCAACATCTCCTCAGATTTCAAAGTATTCTACTTTGAAAGTTATTTTTGCTGTCTATACTGAATAGATGCGAATGTAGTATACTATCATTGTATAATGTAGTAGTACTTATCATTAACCACTAAAAAAGAATTCTTTTGGCCCAGGGAAGCGTATAATTTTTTTAAAAACTTTATTAAGAACTTTATTTTTAAAAACGTTATTTACTAGAAGGTTAATAATAGGAAGAACATTTATGAAAAAT